CAGCTGGAACAGGCTGGCTTACGGCTTGTGTTTCCATCCCGTTTCACTTGCTGTGTGTTTTGGGAGCATTGTTTTTGCTTTCTCATACCTCTCGTTCGCCATGTTTGCAAATCCCCCTGATTTACTTTCCAGACTATGCTCCTTCTCTGTGTGTGTGTGTTTCTACACAGGTTGGGTTGTTGTTGCGCTGGGCATCCTTTGGCTATTAGCAACACTGATTGCTTGCGTGCTTCGACATACGTCTTCGTTTTGGGTGAGTCGCAAGGGCCTCAATTCCCGGACCTCCTGTTGTGCCAGAAATTTGCACCGCATACCTGACCATTGTGATCTTTCAGCATATCTTCACCTGTGCCTTTGCCAATGATCCTTGTACACACTCATGATTCATTTGACTTCCTCTTCCGCATTGATTTGGTAGAGGACAACTACTAATTGATCAGTGATGCGGCGAGCAACTGGAAATGTCCGGCTCAGGTGGACGGAATTCATCAGCAGCAACCTGACAGAGAAAACGAAGCGTCCGGCGTGAAGGCTTTGGGAGGTTCAGAATGCCCCAAAGATACATGCAGTTAAAGGCAATCCTGAAGCATTCCAAGTTTGGTCCATTCAACGCGCCAACGCTGCACCTGGGAAGGGCTGGCTGATTGCTGGCCATGACTTTGCAAATGGGCATGTCCCAGATTGGAGGAGCTCCACAATTTTGCATGGACGCCTGCAATGTGTATATTTGTCATTGGTTTTGCCGAGCAAAGAAGCAAGCAGCGAAGAATGTCGCTGAGATTTTGGGATCTTAACCTAGTTCTTGCCAGGTCCGTCTTTGTGCCATATATGCACCACTTCAAAGCAACACATCTGAGGCACCGGCTTTTCGGAGGCGTTCTCTCAGTTCCAGTTCACTGACGCTTGGCCGTGACGAGCTGCTCCTTTTTGGCACGGCCCCAACAACGATGTTGGCATGTCACCTATACCCATCACCAGCACTAGACCCCAGCGTCTCGGGCATTGTCAGCACCTCAATCAGCTGACTGAACAAACCGTCACAGCGAGCAATGCAGGAGTCGCTGTAGTCAGCTTCAACAGCTTGAAAACAGGACAAATGCAAGCTTTAAATGCAGCACGGAAAGATCATCTCAGAGACATGGAGCTGTTGGTGCTGCTAGTTGAAACATATACTGGCATGACAAGCCAAATGAGGCCCATGAGAGATCCCTCAAGTGCAGATGTATGGGGGATGGTCCCGGCCTCTACCATCCATTATGTTTTTCCCCAAATAGTGTTTACACTAAGGGGTTCTTACGGTAAGAGTTTAGGCCTGGTGTAGATCGAGGTGTCGGCTCAAATTGCTGGCCCTGTGCGTAAAAAGTTGTCTTCGATGCGACAGTCTCGCACGAAATGGAGGTACGCGCCGGTGCGTGCGTCTCGCTGTGGTGCCGTTCGCACTTTTTAACCTTTGCTGGCAGGGGCAACAGTTGGGAGGTTCGCGCTAGAAGCCTCGTGCCAAACGCGTTTTTTGAAGCAAAATGCATTTTTTGCTGGCAGGGGCGTGTCACACGGAGGCTCGCGCTGCGACGCGGAGTGCGTTTTTTGAGGAAGCCTCGTGCCAAACACGTTTTTTTGAGACCAAAGTGCGTTTTTTGATGGCAGGGCCGCCACGCGGTGATATCTTCTTGTCGGGTCAGGCTACCACGCTTGGACAATCGGAGCTCTAAAACCATGGCAGTTGTCGCAAAAAGTTGTCTCGCGTACGACAGCTTCGCACGAAACGGACCTTTCTTCAAAACTGCGCTCTCGCTGTGGCGCCGTGCCGATCTTCGGATTTGTGTGTTGCCGCAGAATTCCATGGCCAGCGCAGCATTCTGCGAGACTGCCGTGCATTTTTCGTGGTGGGCGCAGCATGTTTTGCGCTGATGCAAATGATGCGTGGCAGGCGCAGCATTTTCGGAAACAGGGTCTGTGAATTGCGTGGCAGGCGCAGCGTTTCGCTCATTTGCAAGCGTTGCAAGACGAAAGTGAACCCTTTGCGGAGATCGTGCGTGTCGAAGCGCTCTCGCTGTGGCGCCGTGCGAACGTGTCTTGAGCTCGGCGAACCCTCTGCGGAGATTGTGCGTGTCGAAGCGCTCTCGCTGTGGCGCCGTGCGAATGTGTCTTGAGCTCGGCGAACCCTCTGCGGAGATTGTGCGTGTCGAAGCGCTCTCGCTGTGGCGCCGTGCAAACGTCTCTTGAGCACGGCGACTCTCGCTGTGGCGCGGTGCGAATGTGTCTCGAGCTCGGCGAACTCTCTGCGGAGATCGTACGTGTCGAAGCGCTCTCGCTGTGGCGCCGCGCGAGTGTGTCTTGCGCTCGGCGAACCCTCTGCGGAGATCGTGCGTGTCGAAGCGCTCTCGCTGTGGCGCCGTGCGAATTTGTCTTGACCTTGGCGAACCCTCTGCGGAGATCCTGCGTGTCGAAGCGCTCTCGCTGTGGCGCCTTGCGAATTTGTCTTGACCTTGGCGAACCCTCT